TTTTTTCTGGCAAAACGTAGATACCATAGTGAAAAAATTGTGTGTTGATTGAGACAATTGAGACTATATACCATAATTTACATAATTGAAGTCCTGATCAAGCACGATGTTATTAGCCGAGCGCAACAAGTAGAAATCAGAAGGTAAAATGTAGTGGTCTGGTTCGCTTAGCTCGGCAAATTCTAACTTGCATTTTTCAACAAACATTAATTTTATGATAGAGGATTGGAGAGCTTTAATTTACGTAAAGTCAGTAACAATAATAATGCAATATTGGTTGCCAATAAAAATGGCAGACAGTTCATCTGTTTTTAATTTGATTTACTATTAGTTGACAGGCCTTTTTAATCGCTAAAACTTCAGCCTTAAAAACCGTAGTTTCATTACGTTGCCTGAGGCAGTGGTACACATGATGCGAATAGCGTACACATGATGCTCCTCCCGTCTATCTATTAATATACCATTCATGAAAATTGATACATCGTAGCTTGCTTTAAAGTTTCTTCTCTTCCACTCATTCCTTGGCAGAAATATTTTATGAAAGATCGCTACAGAATAGTCAGTCACTTTGTGGAGCTTTTTCTAAGACGAGATTTGAAGGTGTGAGCTGAACTTTTATATTGATTACAATTAACTAGTGTATTAAATTTTTATATTGATTATGCAGGCATGTTAATAATTCCAACTTTACAGCTCGATATCGTGAAAACTATATGGGCTAAATAGTTGCGGAAAATGCAGAATAATTGACTTAACTAGACTCTGTTGACAAATGGGCGTGCTTAACATATCAGAATTGTGGACATGTTAAAAATTACACAGATTTGGTAACTCAATAAAGCACTGCAGCTCTGTTTTAGTGGAGTAAATTTAACCGCAAAATGAAAATGTAAGATCCGAATGTGCCCGACAGAATACGATCGAAATAATGTATGCGAAGAGGCCATAAAGTAAGACAGAGAATATTTCCTCCACAACCAATATTTTTATAGCAAATTTATATAGCAAATTTGTGTTTGGTTATTTCTTATTATAAGCAATAATTACTGTTCTTAAGAACAGTTGGTCGTGTTGATTGTTCTATTTTAAAATTTTTTTCGATAGCGCATTTGATAGTTTCGGTTTAGCCGCTTACACCATCTTTATAATTCCATAAACTTTATGGCTGGCGTTGAAGCAGTAAATATTTTATTTCAAAATTTTTATAGAGGATTCATCGAACTTAAACTCAAAATAATTTGTATTAGATATTAAGTTTCATCATCAATAATGGTCTGACACAAAAATGTTTAAGTTTTTATTTATACGACATTCACTTTAATCATTTTTGACCGCGGCAATGGTAGACCTTTACAAATTTATGCTTGTATTAAGTTGTGAAATTTTTTTGTGACCAAGTACCTTCTCTTGGGGCGAAATCTATTTTTGGTATTAAGCCAATATAAAATCGGAGTATCTTAACAACTCTGAGATATGAGTTTATACAAGACAATACTAAATTGCTTTATAAAAAGATATTCTCGATATATTTACCAAATATGGTAGTCGGATGAACATTTGTGGATAATAACTAACAAACAGAACATTAATACGGAAGTATGTTTGTATTAGTTATACTTCACGTTGGGGTGATCCCAATGATCTCACTTATACAGGGTTCATTTGGAATCCACAAGGTGTTAAGCGTCGTGGATAAGTTTCTCTAATTCAATATTTTCTAAATTCTTAAGAATTCTCTTGTGCTCTATTTTACATAAAATCTGTCAATTTAAAGTTTAACTTTTAACGACTAAAGTAATGTCAATGTCAATTTAATGAAATCAACTCTTTATATATCTTCAAGAGAAGTATGTTTCGGGTTATTTTCATAAATATAATTTAAAATTACTTTATTTACTATATATATTATTAAAAATAAGGTTAGAATTAGTAAATATGTTTGAAACCATCTTATCTCCTTTCCAATATTATGCATGTAAATCTTCATGTCACTCAAGCCAGAAAAAACTTTGTAGCAAATAAAATTTGTCACAAATTAAAACAAACAAAGAATTGTTTTTGTGAGTATCGAAACCTTCTTCAGACATAATTTTTAGCAGAATTCAAAAACAGAGTGAGTGAGTAGTGATCCAATACAAAAATCTTAAAAATCACTCATACGTCACGTACAAAATTTTAACCGCAAGCTAATTGCAAACAAATTATGCAGCGTTTAGCCACTTCAAAGAATGTTGACGCATAAATAATTTAATCTTAGTAAATTGGTTAATTAGCATTGCAAATAAGAAAATATTTTGACGTAAATTAGTTATATTAACATAATTCCAGTGTTGTGCGGCAGAATATTCAATATTTGCACAGGCAAAACGTAGGCATTAAATGGCCTACGTGGTCAATTAATAATTACGCTGAACCGAAAAGTATGCTAAGGTTTTCCTTTTGCAGCTGTGCGATGCCAAAAAAGGCAAGAAAAATCAGCTTTCGATGACGAGTTTTTGCTTACTGTTGTAAATTTATATCAAATGACACGTTCCAATAAATCCCGGCCAATAGTGTTTGCAGCATGTCTGTTTGCCAATCGCTTCAACATTTAGTACAATATTTAAGCCTTTGACTGGTGAGTAAAGCAACCTTATTGACGACTTCAAGTTAACATAAAATACATATATTGTAAAATGTTAATTAATTATAATGTGAATGAATTATATAAATTATAATTAATTATAATTATAATAACATATTACCATAGGGGTGCAATGTTAACATTATAAAGTTCCTATTCTTAAGATGAACTTCAGTAATAGAAAGCACAGATTATACTAAGTTTCTATTATTACTTATTATTACTTAAATTTTACCTGAGAAGAAAACTTCTCAGGAGAACATACATTTATCTCTTATTAGTTTGCAGTTACGAAAAACAAAGCGATTTTTTGTAATTTATTTTTTGAATATATATTTATGTAATCCTACGACATTAATATTTAATATAAAAGACTAACATTATTTAATTAATTTATTTATTTTTTGCTTAAAGCCGTCTTATAGGAAACCCAATCAAAATCTTGCCTGGAGAAATATTTCTGCGTAGCAATTACCTGGAGGCACTGTAAGTAATTAAAAATAACTGTATTTGCAGATATAAAGAAGAAGATATTTTATTAAACACATAATAAATAAACGATCCTTGAAGTTTATTTTAATTCATGAGACATTTAAGCTCAATAATATTTATAAAATTTTATAAAAATGTTGCAATTTGTTCTACGCTACATAATATTATTATTATTTGTTATGTATTGTGTTTTAAACTAAAAAGTGATCGCAACTACGAATCAATGATGAAGTTCATATATGTTAATGAGAACATAATAATCGTCTATTATGAATACTTAAAACTCACTATATAGAATTTATTAGACAAACTATAACTCAAACATGAAGCAGATACTCCATATGGAAAATAATTTTTTGATATAATGAACATCGCTTTGAAATCCAGACTTAAAAATTATCAGTATTTTTAATAATTTTTTTCATCGTCTGGCTTCAAATATTTGTGTAAAATTGGGGGAAATCATTGTTATATCCTGCTGTGAATGAGTTTTTATATTTAGATGAAACTTATAGGGACTCTGTGTTATTATTTACTACAATAAACACATAGCACCACTGATGCAGAGTTCAGCCCTACGCTAAATCCTTATGAATACCGTACAGTACGAATATTTGTCTAGGGCCGTCCGACATACAGTGATGCCATACTATAGCTCACTATAGGTCTTATGACCTAACATATACCTCCACTTTTTACGAAAAGCTCGCTCGAATGTAGTTTGCTTTTAACTAAGTTTTCTGTCAAAAACAATAGACAAATATATTCATAATAATTTGTTGAATAGTACTTGCATCTTTGCATTCGTCATTTATGATAACTATAAGACTTTTAACATCACTGGTGACATCTTTTCCCTCATCAAGAAGCGAAAATATAGCGTCTCTATGTTTGTTAATATCTATAACGTGATTTCAGAAAAAAAGAAATAGAAAAGTATGCAACAACACCATGCTAATATGTAAAATCTTTAATTTAAAAATCTTTAAATCTTTAAAATATCCTTTCTGACTAGTAACTGATTGATAAAGTAGTCGATTCCTACTGTCAGTGTTTATTATTCTTAACTCAGAAAAAACCTAGTAGAAGTAAAAGATCGTTAATACATGGCTTGTTAGAATAAGGAAAATTTTGTCAAGTTAATCTGTTAGATATCCCTTAGATGATTTAAAGTCAACTATTTGACAAACTAATAACATATTAGCGACTTCGCTTGTCAGTATTTAAAAACTTTATCGAATGTCAAACCATTTCATTAGATTTAAACTCTATTACTGCTAGCTTATAGTTTTTTATCGTATTGCTAATTGTTAAATATAAATTTAAATAAATAAATTAATATTTTTTTAACTAAAAACATTTGTGTTTTCTCTTTCATAGTTCGCTTAGCCATACTGCTCTTCAAATACGAAGCAACATCTTGCAACCCGTGAAACTATCATACCTAAACTTAACCGGCATACGCTTTGAAAGCATAGATTTTAAAGCTTTAAGCAACATGCCAAATCTGAAGTACATAATTTTCGATCGGTTTTATTTCTGTTCGATGATACCGAAAGTAAGAATGTGCAAACCAAAAACAGATGGAATATCTTCCTTTAAAGATTTACTCAGTAAGCCCATATTACGCTACTCAGCATGGATAATGGCCACCGTCACAATAAGCGGCAATATAATGGTACTTTGGGGTCGCTTCATATATCGTGATGAGAATATTGCAGTAACATTGGTCATACGAAATTTAGCATTTGCAGATATATTAATGGGATT